CCAGTAAGACGATTCGATCCATATTTACAGGTAAAATGGTTGAAAATTGCGCAATTCGATTTGCATTTCGCGCAAATTTGAGTACGTCGGCGATCCATCACAGATGCGCTGGGGACCTACTGGGACAGATCGCCGAACGTTGTCAGTTGCAACCGTCGACTACGTCGCAGATAGGTCGGCGGGATATGAGAACCAGGCTTTAACTGATCTGATGTGCAAAGACGCAGCTGGGAAAACTGTATGTAGGAAAGTAATGTCAACTTTGCAAAGATTCTAAGTTCTCAGTTCAACCCATGAATTATCATTTTCCTATTTTCTTTGTCTCCCTAGTTGGTCCTAGCTGTTTGTCATGTATTGTGTTATTTAAGTAATCTGATAATATTTAATCCGCCTATATTAGCCCAATGCTACCAGCGGATCAGTTTTACATTTGTGTTAATTCTTAAATTGAATTGAAATAAAGTATGTGTGTGTGTGTGATATGTGTACAAATGTGTTACATCAGCAGGGGGCGTCACTGGTGTTACAGGTATGCATTATTTATAAGTGCTGTGACATGTACATTAAAGTAGACTTGTTGGTCATGTGCCATCTTGGTACACTGAAATGCAATGTTAAATTAATTAATCAAATTAAATTAAATGTTAATTTGATTAAGGCTGTCTGGATTCTATAAATCTAAAATAATAATTGTTGTTTGAGAGGTATTCTTTTCATTAAAAAAGTATATATATGTAACAAATACACCTCTCAAAGATGGATTTGAATTGCATAAGATACAAACTGAAACACAGGTATTTCATTTTACAGCAAAACGTCCGTTAAAAAAACAGTGACAATATTGTGATCCTCAATCAAGAAAACGAGAATGTGACATTACAATGGCCCTCTCACATGAATATAATTCCATAGACAATGAAGTTATCACCATAAAAACATTTATACATAATATATATGTGTAAATTATTATACATAATAGGTACCTCTGTACAATATGCTGATATTGGAACAATTATGCAAATATCAGTTAATACATATTTGAACATTCATTGTTATATGCTTATTGTTATAAAACACATGCAAATTAAAATAAATTATCCTTGTTTACATTGTTTAAGCAAACGGTCCCCCATACATACATGTATTCTTAATTAGCCTGTAAACCAAACCTCAAATTTTAAGAAGGAGTTAAGAAAAGCAAATTATGGGAAAACAGTTCAGAGACTGAAGTGCTGCAGGCTTTTCTATGGTTGAGGACTTCCATGACCAACATGTGCCCTCTTTCATTTGGAGTATATTTACAAGTGCAAAGGGTTGTACACACTTAATTAAAACCACATGGATTTTCTTTGCAGTCAGTGCAGAGAAACTGTCAAACTCCATGTATTCTTTCCTGTATTACAGGTTAGCAATAGAATGGCTAACAAACACGTCAACAAGACAGCCCAAAAACGTTTTTGCGGCCCTCTTCCTGGAGGCATCCTCAATCTTAACAAGAGGTCTCTGCCACCAAATAGAATTCTAAACTGCAAAGCCAATGTTACATGGCTGGTTGCAGAACCTCTCCAAATCTGTGCAGCTGTAACATTTTCCTGCGCAGAAACTTGTGACAAAAGGAAATAAAAAGAAATGGGGATGACTGTTACAATAGTATATGAGCCTGATATAACAATAATAATCCATTTTTTGACTGGACATGCAAGAGTTCCTATAGGGATGCCAGCAATATTTTATTTTTCTCTGTAGCAGTATAAGCAAGATCAAATTCCAGAAGGTCATTTGTAACTAGCAAATAACATCTAATGCTCTATTCTTTCACAACACCCACAAGTGCCGGTCTCAGTGTCCTTCCATGCAGTTTATATCCAACCTTTTCTACAATAGCAACAGTGCCTTTCTCTTTATCGGGAAGTGGAATCTGGAACAATGCTTCATGACTGTAGGGATCAAATTTTTCATCCAATGGGATGATTTTTTCAAGACCATTTTTTTGGAAAACTTTTTGTAATTGAGCTTCAGTCATTAAAAGCCCATCATACAAGTTCTTCAATGAATCATTCTTTTCAATCTCTTCCTTTGGAACACTTTCCGTTGCTTTTCCTAAAATGTCTGCAACTTCAAGCAGGTCTTTTGAGAAGGTCTGAATTCCAAACAACCTAGCTTCTTCTACTTGTTTCCTGCTGCGGGAGAGAATATTCTCATTATCAGCCAAGGAGCGTTTATACTTGTCCTGAAAAAGAAAACAACTGTCAGCAAGAATTTTTGTTCCATCAGTAGTGTTATTGATATTGCATCATCTGATTTTTGTTGCATCAGTAATGTTACTTATGTTAATACAAGTATTCATATTTGCTGATTCAGCAGTACAAATTTGGAGGGTACCTCTTTTAGACAGGAGGTCTACCGTCCTAAAATAATGAGGTAGATTCCTATCATTTTTTACTGCCCCTTTAAAAAACATGCAAAGTCTGTATGTACATTAACATCTGAAAAAGAATTGACTTGACTAAAGAATGCCAAACTTCACTTGTCCTCGATTCCTTTCTATGTAATTTTTGCAAACGTTTTTGGTATCAAACAGCCAATCATTACTTCTTTCTGATAGTTGTCCGAGAGAAAAATGAATCATAAATCTTTTTCTTACTCTGATTTCCAATATTTGATCAGCTCTACACCCTTAAAAAACCAGTAGTCTCTTTTTGCACCTTTTTAACCATACTTTTTATGTTAATTCAAAGCATGTTTTATTTTTTAATATTATTATTGAGACTCTATCATTCTTGTGACATAATAATAAACCTTTTTATATAATTCAAGAAAACTTCACACAAGTCCTCCTGTCTATATCTATGCATGTACCGGTACCTCCAAATGAATTCAGCCAAATATGATGAGAAAACACGTTCCCCTACTACAAAACTGGGTAGTTTGCAAAAAGTCAATTCAATTCAAAATTTTGCTAACTTAAATTTCATATTCACAGACTATTAAATTTTAGTGTAAATCTACTAGTGTTCTATCATGGATACTGTTCTCTGATTGGCTATGCTACTCTTCTGTTGTAGATAGTGATTAGCATAGCAGTGAGCACTTGTTAACAAAATGATGGCGGCTTTTTTACACCTTTGAAGTGACTGTGACAAGGATTTAGAAAAAGTTTTTAATGACTAATAGACTTATACTAAAACAATTAGATTACAAGCTCGAGATTTCTATCCGTGATAGTTGACTCAGGCTGTTTCCCTCATCAACTATCATGCGATAGAAATCTCGAGCTCACAATCTAATTGTTAAATGGACGACAAAGGATTTCAGGTTAAAACCTTGCGATTGCGATTTTATATTCACTGCCTATGGAACTGCGACCTACAGTAGCAGAACAGTTCAATGCTCACTCTGATTCAAAATCACTGACTAAAGGAATGCAGACCACTGTAGAGACAGCCTGTGGTTACAATTCAGTTCTTTATCATGTTTGCTTCATGTAGTCCCCTATTATTAACTATGGAACAGAAACTTTAGATTAATGTACTTTGAGAATTATGATGGGTAATTCTGGAGTTGTTTCCATTTCTTTTTTAAGGGAAGACAGTGCAAAATGCAGTCATAAGATGGATGTTGATCTTCAGCATTTGGGTGTTCTTGAAAGGTACAGTATCAAATTCGATCAGTGCCTAAGATGATGTAAGTTAACATTTTTTGGCATATAGTACGCAAAGTCATCGTGATATGACCAAATTACATGTTACCAGATAATTAACTTTGAACAGATATTGACATTCAAAGTTCTAGATCTGCTACATGTGTATTCAATTGAAATGCCGCCCTTTGCACCGCCCTTTGCACCGCCCTTTGCCACCCTTTTGCACCCGCATGGGGATGAGTGAGTGGGTAATTAAAATTACTGTATTTTCTAGCACACATGCTTTTAGTTTGAAAATTAATATATCGCAAGATCATGTCAAGTTTATTATTATCAGTGGATAATACGTAACTCAATGATCTCACAAGTTCTGACATACCTGAAGATCTTTTATTAAACTTTCCTTTTCTTTCAATAGACGATCGTGTTCACTTCCCTTTTCTTGCTCTCCAGATTCTGCTGCTTTCTTTTCAGCCTCAGACGTTTCCTGATCTACAGTCGCGTCGTCTTGTGATGAATTTCTGTCGTCTTTAGATGAATTCGATTTTGTGTCAGGACTTGACTGAGCAGAGCACAGCCTCAATCGAGTCCCAAATAATCGGGAGATTTGGGCATAATTCAGTGGTCTGAAATTCTCTGGCTGTAAAACAGCACTTCTAACGGCTACTATGGCAGATCTCAGCATCACTGGGATAGGAAATAACCTATAAAATAAGAAAAACTTTCGCTTTACTCCTTGCAAAGTTTAAAATTGCATCACTTCACGTGCGTATTTTTAAGCCGCCAAGTAACCGCTCCTATAGAGGCCGCTATTTCTACTGGGTACTTTTTGCCTTCGTCATGCCCCGGTCGCTTCCGGTTTCAGTGAAAAATTTTATAACTGTCCCCAAATTTATAGAAACAGCTCTATTCTTTAAATGAGAAACCAGAAACTGCAAGGGACCGCATACGATAAACGCTACCAACGTAGGATCTACAAGAGATCTGATCAGCCAAAAAATATATAAAGACAAACAATAGACTGCAAGACGTTTCGAGACACCAATATGACAAGAAGATCGCAACAGTGGACAGCTGTCTCGTCCTTCTTGGAACTCGTCAGCACTGTGCAGCGAAGATATGTAACGCCAGCCCAAGAACCAACGCACATAAATTGCAAAATGACCCGTTCACTATATCAAGTTCCGTACTTTGAGTCACGCGCCCCGAAACACGCGTTACCACATCACGTGTTTCGGGGCGCAAGGAGACAAAGTGTAACGATTGTTGTCTCGAAAAGCACGTCCAGCCACATTTATTTTTTGCTTTTCGAGACAGCAATCGCTCCAAAGCGTTTCAAAGCAATAAAAAAATTTATTTTGTTGATCAAATTTCATGGATGTGAAACAGGCGCGGAGCGAGGAAAATGGTAACCAATTTCCGAACTCAACGAGCTCCGAAGGCGCTAGCCTGCGTGGCAGGCCGTAGAAGGGAGGGAAAGGGTCAAAATGAGCGCGAGAGGATCGAGCACGCTTCGATGGAGGTCCCCTACCATCACGCGCTTCGCGCGCACGTTTTTTCCCTTTTCCCTCCCCTTCCCCGCAGGCTATGAAGGCGTAGGCGCAAGCTTCTAGAAGGGTCCGGGGCCATGTTTCCTCAGGAGTTGTTTTTGATTTTAACTCCCAAAAGTCCCTTTTCCTGGGTTTCTGAGCCTTTCTGAAAAATGTGACCGATTTGCGCAAAACGGGAAACCGGTGTTGATCCGCGCCTGTGAGGTTTCCTGAGCTGATTTATTTAGCTCTGAAACCTGTCCCTGGAGGACTTTGACAGTTTTCCATCACATGCCCATCTGTACCGATTTGAGTCTCAAAACAATTATCTCACTTAAGAAATCAGATCAGTGAAACTTTTATTTTTTGGTGCAAAATTTCTGAACTCTGGAAACACGCTCTACACGTTCAAAATCATTCAGAAGCTTTAAGACTGAAAAATATGGTAACCTTTTAAATCACCCGAATTAAAACGGAGCATGCAGATGATGATGACGATGATGGTCAGGGACGGCGGAGCCTGGGTGGCTGGGGGGCTAAAATTTCAAACAAAAAGTACATAAAATTATAATTTTACAAATATGCCCATACCCGAGCGCCTTTAAATCTCCGCCCCCAATTCAAAATACGCTTCGCCATGCCTGATGATCTCGATCTGAGCAGCATGTCTGGCGTGGCATTAATGAAGTTTATTTTTATTTTTAAATCATCATTGTTATTATATTATTATTATCGACATTATTACTATCATTATCATCATCATCATTATTATTACTACTACTACTANACTACTACTACTATTATCATTCCATCATATCGAGAGACCTGAGAAAGATTATACCCGCTGAACAGGCTGAAATGTTCTGATGAAACGCTTGAGTGAACCAAAACAAGAAGAGGATAAATTTGCATGACTTTTTGGCATCACAGAAAGCAAGTCGGCGATCGCCTAAACCTTTCTACAGATTACTTTTAGTTTTCAAATTTTTGAATTGTTTTATCGAAATTTGACAACGCTGCGCCACCCAATCAGGACCTCCAAAATATTGTCCTTGTTTAAAAGAGCGCCAAAACAGTTTTTACAGTTCTATGTGTCAGCGGACACCCCCAATCAGACAAGAAGAACGCGGGCATCCCCGAACTCAAGAAAGTTCGAAAACTTGGAGAGGGCTTGGAGAAATAGTCGTGTATTTTATCATGTCTAATCCAAGTGTAACTCCAAATAAGATCAGGAAGGTTGACCCTGTGGACGGAGCACAAAATTCGCACTCCGATCAGCAAGAAATCATCGAAGAAATCAATGCTGTGCAGAATCAAATAGACGCGCTAAATGAGCAAGCGTCCGAGGAGATTTTAAAGGTTGAACAGAAGTACAACCGACTAAGAAAACCACACTTTGAACAGAGAACAGACCTCACAAGGAGGATACCAAATTTCTGGATGACGGTCGTATCCTTTTGATATTTACAAATGCCAGCAAAATTAAAGAGGTTTGTATTATCCGCAGCTGAAGACCTGTGACATGTTGCCTGGAACTTTTTAGCATTCTAATGGCCTTGAATGATGATCTTTATTTATTACCTTGGATTGAATTGTTTCGTAATCTTCTGTCACTAAGCAGAATTTAAGTTAATTATTTCAATTTTATTACGTTGTAGATGTTCTACACGAGAAGATCGTTTGTAAAGTTAGTTTACTGAATGAACAATATTATTAATGCACGGCCCGTCTAGTTTATATTTGTACTGTTCGAGTAACGCAATGAGATTATCATATCCCGTAAGATTATCCACAGATTTCGATCACCTACTTATAACGTGTTTAAGACATCTGTTAAAGTTGATTTTTTCTAAAATGAATTGATAATGCGTTCCCGTCTTGTTTCTGGGTAGTAATCTCTGACCACAATGTTAATTTTGGCTATTTTTATTTCGAGGTGACTCTAACGTACCCCATTAACTAACTACGGGGGATTAAATTTTTGAAGAAAATAGTCATGTAGACTTTTTGTTTTTAAATCTGTATTTGAACTTGTCCAACCGGGCTAATCTTGCCAAATGTGAAGTCTTTGATTAGTCAGGGGAGATGCAAGGCGAAATTTCAGTGATCTTTGGCAGAGTCAACTTTGACTAACGAAACAAAATGGAGGTGAACCAGAACAACGCAATCCTAGTGCCCAGTCCCCATCATAACCATTCTCGGTCATTAAAGGACAAATGCATGCCGGTTTCAGTTTGCTGCAATTATTTTTTGCAATCAATGCAATTTATCATACTCCTTTTTTCATGTTCTGACTTGATATCCAAATTTCCCTTGAAATTACACAGAATAATACAGTAAACAGCAGTAGCCAGCAGTAGACATATAAGAACAAGTGGATCAAGAACATCAAGCTGAAAGTTGGCCAATATAAAGTAACATATTCAGCCTGATAAAAAAGGATGTTTTTTATATAAAAAGGAAGAGGATGCCAGAATAAGGAAGCACTCATATTAAAGTACCATGGTATTAAATTACTAATTAACAATTAGATTATGAGCTCGAGATTTCTATGAGGTCATAGTTGATGAGGCCAAAGGCCGAATCAACTATCACCTCATAGCAATCAAGAGCAAATAAACTAATTGTTTTAGTAGAATTCTTACTAAAATATACTTGAAATGACGGCTTCCAATTATTTATTGACATATAATTAAACTTTGCGCCTGGAAAAGATAGTTCAGATTGAATTGCTATTTAAAATTGAAGTTGTATGTGCACGCGCATTAGTTTTTTCAATAATTCCAACTTTTTTGAATGTCAAGAAACCATAAATGTCCTTCGTTTAGACTTCTAATTAAATTATTCATTTGCATCAAAAACTTTGGAAAAATGAAAAAAACTTTGCCATTTCCTAGACGAACTCTAGCCACTGCACACTAATGGCTGATAGTGTTGAATGGCTCAGCCAATCAGATTGCAGCATTTGCATTAGTATACAAGTAGAATTCTACTGATAGTATTAAGTTGTTTTGATTATTATTTTAACTTTTTTTTAGTGTACATATAAGTATTAAAACATCGTATGTTAATTAAACCTCTAGTAATGTATAATGTATAGTATTTCTGAAACAAATTTTAAGGACATTTTAAGAACACTTTCAGGCTGATTCCTCACTAAGCACCCAGTAAATAAGAACTTGATCAGCCTGAACCCTGAAATCATAGGTTGTTATACGTGGATGTTTACTGCATTATGATAGTCAGAAAAAACTGGAAGAACAATTTCCTTGACATATTGGTGCACAGTTTATAAATCATCCCCAGATGCAAATGTGGATTGATGAAGAGGATGAGGAAGCTCTACAGTACATGACATTTCTAGAAGTTGAAGAGTTTGAAGACATCAAGTCCGGGTACAGAATAAAGTTTGTAAGTGTTCCCAATTAGAGTAGCCTCCTACCTAGGTGCCCTTAATGCTCGTTGCACACTCTTTCTCCTTTGTTGGACTGTTTACAGTCTTTGCTATGTTGTATTTCTAAATTTCTTTAACTGATTATGTGGATGTCTTTTTTTTCTAACTGAATGTGTTTCTTTCGGCAAACTTAACTATCAATATAATACTCTTGAACCCAGTTTTGTGAACGTAACTATATAAAGAGGAGATGCTTACATGTATTTACTGAGGCATCAATTTATAAGACTTACCAGAATTTCATAATATACGACATATGTATGATATATATATTATATTATATCTTTGGAGGGAGATCACACCTTGTAGTTTGGTAACTTTTGCATAGGGACTTTCCCCAAGCTACTGGCCAGTATTTTGCACTTCACAGTCATACATCTTAATGAGGGGGGCGTTTTGATTTGCAGTTTTGCAGTTTTGGCTATTTTTACATCGGTTTTTCAGTTTTTGTACCAAAAAGCTTCAGTTTTTTGGTTTTAGTGTTCATTGTGGTTTGCAGATTTTCCGATTATTTGGTTTTCGATTTTCATAAAAAATACTGGCGGGTTTTTGGAATTTGTATCTGATGTGGTTTTTGGTTTTTCCTATTTGGGTTCTGGTTTATCTTCGATCTTAGCACCACCACTGATCTTGAAAAGCCATGAAACACAAAAGTTATTGGGACGAATGCATATGCTCCTCTTGTCACCATTGTATCAGATTGATTAGGGTTTTGATAATTGGGATGTGAAAATTTATTGGTTTTGATCAAATTTTGTTGCGGTTTTGGACGATTTTTTTATGGATTTGCAGTTTCTATAGACCCCAATGCCCTCCTCCTTTACCTTAAATGTTAATGTTGCCCAATTACACCTTTGAGGTGTTTGAGAGGTAAGAAAGGCTTTGTCAATACATATACTCTGATTCTCTTCTCAAGGTTTGTGGGAAGATAAGTGAGGCTTTACACTCTACATGTAGTGTGCACAACCCAAAGCCATGAAATAATGTGCCATATTAAGCCTGCAATGCCACTATCACACTATTCCTTTGTTTGTTTTTATTACTGTGTCACCTTTTGCTCCATTGTATAATGTGCTGCCTTTGTAAAATATCTAAAACTAAAGCCTAAGTGATATTCTTCTATCATCTTTGAAGGGTTTTGCAGAAAATCCATATTTTACCAATGAAGTCCTTTATAAAGAGGTCATTCTTAATGAGCATTGTGACCAGTCAACCAGGGCTACTCCCATCAAGTGGAAAGCAGGAATGGTAAGAAGTATTCTAACCTGTAATTATGTTTAAATATATGTAACTACATTAAAATGCAGTCCACTGACAAAAGCTAAGTAATTTCAGCTGTGAATTTATCCAAGGGAATTATACCCAATTAACATACAGATGTTCATTTTCTCCCATGTACTAAGTTTGCACAGTTTTCATAGTTTTGATTTGGCTATTATTTGTACTATATGCTATATGATACAGTATATGATTGATTAATTGATCCATCCATCCATCCATCCATCCATCCAGCCATCCATCCAGTCAGTCAGTCAGTCAGTCCGTCCGTCCGTCCGTCCGTCCGTCAGTCAGTCAGTCGGTAATTGACTGTGTAGTTGTTAATTTGTTTCTGTACAGCCTCATTCCTAACACTTTTTTGAATGTTTTACATGTATGCCACGACAGGACCTGACTCAGCGGTACAATCAACAGAACATGTTAAAAGGACGGAAGAGGGGCCATGAAGAACCCCAAAGTTTCTTCAGCTGGTTCACAGACCAGGATTCTGGAGATGAGTTAGGAGAAACGATTAAAGATGAAATATGGCCAAACCCTCTTCAGTATTTCTTGGTATGTTGTGTAGTGTGACCAGTAGTTCATGTAAGATAAATTAACAAAGTAGACTGTCGTGCTTGTTCTTCATCAAAGAAGTGACAAGCCAAGTTTAAAATTTATCTCTTGCAACAAAATGATATATTTAAGTGATGTCCTGAGGTAGATTTTAAAACGTCTTGTCGCACTTGAAGGTAAATTTCAAATTGTTTCATAACCTGTTGTCAGAAGTATTTTCTCAAAACCTGACACAATGCATCGAACACTGCTTTCAGTAAACTATGCCTCATATTACTTTGTACTAGACTACAGTAAAAAAAGAATTAATGATAGTAATAGTTTGCTTCCTGTGTCAGTATGAAGTGTCTTAGGGTAAAATGATTAAGAATGGTTGCCGACATATTCTAGGGAACTTCAAATAGTGGACTTCAGGAAGAGAATGAGGAAGATGAAGAGGATATTGACGAGGATGAGTCAGAGGATCAGGTAGTTAATGTATATGCTGTTGAGAATAGCTTAATATGCATTTAATATTGAAAAAAAATTCTGCTAAGTCTCGGTCTCCTCCATTTATCATTTCCAGNGATTTTTTCTAAAATGAATTGATAATGCGTTCCCGTCTTGTTTCTGGGTAGTAATCTCTGACCACAATGTTAATTTTGGCTATTTTTATTTCGAGGTGACTCTAACGTACCCCATTAACTAACTACGGGGGATTAAATTTTTGAAGAAAATAGTCATGTAGACTTTTTGTTTTTAAATCTGTATTTGAACTTGTCCAACCGGGCTAATCTTGCCAAATGTGAAGTCTTTGATTAGTCAGGGGAGATGCAAGGCGAAATTTCAGTGATCTTTGGCAGAGTCAACTTTGACTAACGAAACAAAATGGAGGTGAACCAGAACAACGCAATCCTAGTGCCCAGTCCCCATCATAACCATTCTCGGTCATTAAAGGACAAATGCATGCCGGTTTCAGTTTGCTGCAATTATTTTTTGCAATCAATGCAATTTATCATACTCCTTTTTTCATGTTCTGACTTGATATCCAAATTTCCCTTGAAATTACACAGAATAATACAGTAAACAGCAGTAGCCAGCAGTAGACATATAAGAACAAGTGGATCAAGAACATCAAGCTGAAAGTTGGCCAATATAAAGTAACATATTCAGCCTGATAAAAAAGGATGTTTTTTATATAAAAAGGAAGAGGATGCCAGAATAAGGAAGCACTCATATTAAAGTACCATGGTATTAAATTACTAATTAACAATTAGATTATGAGCTCGAGATTTCTATGAGGTCATAGTTGATGAGGCCAAAGGCCGAATCAACTATCACCTCATAGCAATCAAGAGCAAATAAACTAATTGTTTTAGTAGAATTCTTACTAAAATATACTTGAAATGACGGCTTCCAATTATTTATTGACATATAATTAAACTTTGCGCCTGGAAAAGATAGTTCAGATTGAATTGCTATTTAAAATTGAAGTTGTATGTGCACGCGCATTAGTTTTTTCAATAATTCCAACTTTTTTGAATGTCAAGAAACCATAAATGTCCTTCGTTTAGACTTCTAATTAAATTATTCATTTGCATCAAAAACTTTGGAAAAATGAAAAAAACTTTGCCATTTCCTAGACGAACTCTAGCCACTGCACACTAATGGCTGATAGTGTTGAATGGCTCAGCCAATCAGATTGCAGCATTTGCATTAGTATACAAGTAGAATTCTACTGATAGTATTAAGTTGTTTTGATTATTATTTTAACTTTTTTTTAGTGTACATATAAGTATTAAAACATCGTATGTTAATTAAACCTCTAGTAATGTATAATGTATAGTATTTCTGAAACAAATTTTAAGGACATTTTAAGAACACTTTCAGGCTGATTCCTCACTAAGCACCCAGTAAATAAGAACTTGATCAGCCTGAACCCTGAAATCATAGGTTGTTATACGTGGATGTTTACTGCATTATGATAGTCAGAAAAAACTGGAAGAACAATTTCCTTGACATATTGGTGCACAGTTTATAAATCATCCCCAGATGCAAATGTGGATTGATGAAGAGGATGAGGAAGCTCTACAGTACATGACATTTCTAGAAGTTGAAGAGTTTGAAGACATCAAGTCCGGGTACAGAATAAAGTTTGTAAGTGTTCCCAATTAGAGTAGCCTCCTACCTAGGTGCCCTTAATGCTCGTTGCACACTCTTTCTCCTTTGTTGGACTGTTTACAGTCTTTGCTATGTTGTATTTCTAAATTTCTTTAACTGATTATGTGGATGTCTTTTTTTTCTAACTGAATGTGTTTCTTTCGGCAAACTTAACTATCAATATAATACTCTTGAACCCAGTTTTGTGAACGTAACTATATAAAGAGGAGATGCTTACATGTATTTACTGAGGCATCAATTTATAAGACTTACCAGAATTTCATAATATACGACATATGTATGATATATATATTATATTATATCTTTGGAGGGAGATCACACCTTGTAGTTTGGTAACTTTTGCATAGGGACTTTCCCCAAGCTACTGGCCAGTATTTTGCACTTCACAGTCATACATCTTAATGAGGGGGGCGTTTTGATTTGCAGTTTTGCAGTTTTGGCTATTTTTACATCGGTTTTTCAGTTTTTGTACCAAAAAGCTTCAGTTTTTTGGTTTTAGTGTTCATTGTGGTTTGCAGATTTTCCGATTATTTGGTTTTCGATTTTCATAAAAAATACTGGCGGGTTTTTGGAATTTGTATCTGATGTGGTTTTTGGTTTTTCCTATTTGGGTTCTGGTTTATCTTCGATCTTAGCACCACCACTGATCTTGAAAAGCCATGAAACACAAAAGTTATTGGGACGAATGCATATGCTCCTCTTGTCACCATTGTATCAGATTGATTAGGGTTTTGATAATTGGGATGTGAAAATTTATTGGTTTTGATCAAATTTTGTTGCGGTTTTGGACGATTTTTTTATGGATTTGCAGTTTCTATAGACCCCAATGCCCTCCTCCTTTACCTTAAATGTTAATGTTGCCCAATTACACCTTTGAGGTGTTTGAGAGGTAAGAAAGGCTTTGTCAATACATATACTCTGATTCTCTTCTCAAGGTTTGTGGGAAGATAAGTGAGGCTTTACACTCTACATGTAGTGTGCACAACCCAAAGCCATGAAATAATGTGCCATATTAAGCCTGCAATGCCACTATCACACTATTCCTTTGTTTGTTTTTATTACTGTGTCACCTTTTGCTCCATTGTATAATGTGCTGCCTTTGTAAAATATCTAAAACTAAAGCCTAAGTGATATTCTTCTATCATCTTTGAAGGGTTTTGCAGAAAATCCATATTTTACCAATGAAGTCCTTTATAAAGAGGTCATTCTTAATGAGCATTGTGACCAGTCAACCAGGGCTACTCCCATCAAGTGGAAAGCAGGAATGGTAAGAAGTATTCTAACCTGTAATTATGTTTAAATATATGTAACTACATTAAAATGCAGTCCACTGACAAAAGCTAAGTAATTTCAGCTGTGAATTTATCCAAGGGAATTATACCCAATTAACATACAGATGTTCATTTTCTCCCATGTACTAAGTTTGCACAGTTTTCATAGTTTTGATTTGGCTATTATTTGTACTATATGCTATATGATACAGTATATGATTGATTAATTGATCCATCCATCCATCCATCCATCCATCCAGCCATCCATCCAGTCAGTCAGTCAGTCAGTCCGTCCGTCCGTCCGTCCGTCCGTCAGTCAGTCAGTCGGTAATTGACTGTGTAGTTGTTAATTTGTTTCTGTACAGCCTCATTCCTAACACTTTTTTGAATGTTTTACATGTATGCCACGACAGGACCTGACTCAGCGGTACAATCAACAGAACATGTTAAAAGGACGGAAGAGGGGCCATGAAGAACCCCAAAGTTTCTTCAGCTGGTTCACAGACCAGGATTCTGGAGATGAGTTAGGAGAAACGATTAAAGATGAAATATGGCCAAACCCTCTTCAGTATTTCTTGGTATGTTGTGTAGTGTGACCAGTAGTTCATGTAAGATAAATTAACAAAGTAGACTGTCGTGCTTGTTCTTCATCAAAGAAGTGACAAGCCAAGTTTAAAATTTATCTCTTGCAACAAAATGATATATTTAAGTGATGTCCTGAGGTAGATTTTAAAACGTCTTGTCGCACTTGAAGGTAAATTTCAAATTGTTTCATAACCTGTTGTCAGAAGTATTTTCTCAAAACCTGACACAATGCATCGAACACTGCTTTCAGTAAACTATGCCTCATATTACTTTGTACTAGACTACAGTAAAAAAAGAATTAATGATAGTAATAGTTTGCTTCCTGTGTCAGTATGAAGTGTCTTAGGGTAAAATGATTAAGAATGGTTGCCGACATATTCTAGGGAACTTCAAATAGTGGACTTCAGGAAGAGAATGAGGAAGATGAAGAGGATATTGACGAGGATGAGTCAGAGGATCAGGTAGTTAATGTATATGCTGTTGAGAATAGCTTAATATGCATTTAATATTGAAAAAAAATTCTGCTAAGTCTCGGTCTCCTCCATTTATCATTTCCAGTGTGTGTCAGCACATTCTGAGTGCAAAGTGCCTTGAACTTACAACCACAGCCTGCTTAGTGTAAGATGCTAGTCTCCCTTTATTTCTTATAAACAGGGCAGGAGAATTTCTGGAATTTCCTTGCTTCGACCCTCAACATTAAATTTTGTCACTTACAAAAACCAGTTCACCACTGAAAGTGTTCTGTGCACAAATATTTGTATACCTGTATGGTCCTCCTCACCTCCTAAAATAAGCAGAATGATACACTCTGCAATGCAGGTTCTTGAATTATTACAGAATCTACTCACTACTCATCTGAGTAGTAAGTAGATCAATTAATAATAAATTATTAGCTAAATTATTCAATGTTTTTATGCTACAGTGCACAGTATTACTCGATAGACCTTTCCAACTTGGGTGATTTGTTTTCCCATTGTGGTTAAATGTAATTTAAGCTAAGTTAAACGCGAAACAATGCTGGTCAGCAGCCTTCCCCTGTTTTGGACATGCGCAGTGGTGTGGGGTCTGCTGGGGGTTGTGTGGCATGTGATCTTTTAATTTCTAGAAAATTGTTCTTTTATCCATCTAAAATTATTACTCATTCATATACACATAACTGTTTGAAAATTTGAAAGCAAGAATTCTCAAGAGCGCCATCACATAGTATGAAATGGGGCAACAAACTGGCCAAGCTAAAGAGGTCTATTGACTGATCAATTGATTGTTTGACTGATTAATTGAATACCTAGCACTTTTAGTATTTTCCCAGTTACATAGGTTTTTACTACGAGATCATCCTTGTGCATGTGGCATAACAGGCAACGATCCTTTGAAAGTCTGTGTAGAAATCATTATTCTGGACACAGGATTAAGCAGACTGGGTTCAAGTCCTGGCCAGTGTCATTGCTCTTCGGAGAGGCACTTTACTCAAGCAGTTCCTGTCTTCACCCTGCCGTGTACAGCTGTATGCATGGGCTCTTTCAAATTCAATGCTGAGGCAGGCGTAATCCAGTGACAAATAGGCATCTCATCTAGAGGGGGGGTGGGGAGTAAGAATAATCCTAGCTGTAGTTGCTTAATGCTAATCAAACAGGTATATGCCCCAGCCTGATAACTCATAAGCCACTTAGGATTTAAGATAGACTTGCATTAGTAACCTTTACTGTCCTATTGCATCTGAAGCCTTTGGCCCATGTCTGTCAACAGGATGATGTAGTTGTGGTGGATGACGGGGAAGACGACGACGAAGGAGACGAGGAAGAAGGAGAAGATGAGGAGGAAGAGGATGATGATGAAGAGGAAGAGGAGGAGGAAGTGGTTGTTGAGGAGGGAGAAGAAGAAGATCTGGCGGAAGGAGAGGAAGGTGAAACACCAGTAGTGTACGAGCTAGAAGAAGAGGAGGAAGATGTTGATGAAGACGCTGAGCAAGCGGTAAGCGTAGAAAAAGCTATTGGATTATTAAAATAGTCCGCTTGCAACGCAGGCTAGGAAGAGAAGGAAACCGTGAAGACTTGAAGACTTACATTGAAGACTCACATGTTGACAGAGTCGACCGTATTGCTCGCCCTTGAACTGTCTTGAACGACGCTTTTTCTTTCCCTTCCCGCCCTTTTCTTTTTTTTCTTTTTGCGATCAGCCATTATTAAAATTACGATGAATATAACTAACTGTTAAGTGGGGCTTGGCCATAGTAACGGGTCAATGCGCCCGATGTCAGTTCGCCCGGACTAAAAGTCCCCGCGCCCGAACTGAGAGGTCAAAGAAGGATGTGTTAATTTTTCTTTCTTCAAGCTAAACGAACGAAAAAGACAGCATTATGGGTATAATGAAACAAAAGTACTTACAACATGCCCATTTCTCGTTCTTTGACCCATTGACCACGGAGCTGACAGTCGTTACGAACCGACTATCCGTCTGCACGAAACTGACTTTCGGGCGAAACGACAGCATTTCTTGGCCCTCGTCGCCCGAGAGTCATAATTAACAGTTCCCTTTGAAAATCATCAGCCCGCTGTCGAGGATGATTTATAATGGATTATTAGAGGAGGAAAAGACATTTAATGTGGAACGTATTGGTCTTGTCTTCTTCTTAAGGATGATCAGGTTCTTCTAGACCCAGAGGGCGAGGAAGACGACGACGACGACGACGACGAAGACGAGGGAGTTGAACAAGACGATGACGAGGAGGGAGAAGAAGGCGAGGATGATGAGGGTGAGGAAGGAGAAGACGACGACGATGACGAAGGAGAAGAAGAAAAGACAACAACGGAATGACGAACTACTCTTTTTACGTGTATTTAATATATATCATGAACTGAGACGAACATGGCGGATTCTTAAGTTTCACGCTCTAGCCAAAGTAACTTTTCCCCCTTACTATAGAACTTACGCTCGTAGTTTTTGTTTTGAGTTAGCAAACCACATCTCACTGTTTTATAAAATTCCTATTTTTATATGTAGTTTTTCACCACGTTTGCCTCCGTTGAAGAGGTTTGCGTGACCTGTTTGGCGTGATACGAATGCACTGTGTATAGTCACGAGTCACACCAACTGTCTGTGCTGAATCGTTAATCCCAAAAGAAATACTTACTAGTTAATACCTCTTGAAACCTTAACTCTGTTGATCGCGGATTTCTGAATAGGCAACACTTGACATTCATCCCAGAGTTAATGGCATGTGTAAATAAAAGGTGTGATGATTATCCCAGAGAGGTACATGTCATCCCAGGAATGCTCGTTATCCCAGGGATGTGTTTGTCATCCCACATCCAATCTATCTTGGGGATGTGTGTTACCCCAGGGTTACGCATGTAATCTCAAAATTCCCAGATATGGGGATGCGGATCAGTGTAAGGATATTTGTCCTGGGCTTTCGATGACCTGCGTTGACGAAAACTAGGAAATTCGTGAATAACTTTAAGTGATGCCGTTTGTGTTATCGAGACAGTGTTAGAATGACCAGTGTCAGTATATCAGATAGATTGGCCAGTGTTCTTATGGCTTTTGTAAAATTATTCACTAATCAGAAAAGAACTACACAAGTAATAAAATTAACCAATCACAAGCACGAAGAAGCGCGGGAAAACATGTGACCAGCGACAAGCGAGGGCAGGAAAACACGTGACTGAGAGCAAGTTGTTATAAATAGTAATCGCGATTGGTTTTGTTAGCTGTGATTGGTTAAAGTAGATTGTAAGAGTTTCTTCAGCCAATTTATATCCAGCTCGAGTTCAGCAAGTACAAACCAAGCAGACACGATTATTTTCGCTATTTTATTCCAAAACCACTCGCCTTCTATTCATCGGAGACATTCTTGGCAATGTTTTCTGGCTCTCGAGTTATAAAGCATTGTTAACTCAAAGCCCGAAATTCTCTCGGGATTTTGAATTGAATAACTCTTAGTTGCTGTCTGGTGGGTTTTCGCTATTCTGAGCTGTTTCCCTTAAGTCATTTCCGGAGCACGATATTCATAACACTAATGTGAATACCTAACAGAGTTATACACGCGGCACTGGCATCGTGTGATTGCCATAACTTATTGTATACTTTTATTGATTTAAAATAAAACTGAAGGTTTTAATACAACTGCATACGAGTTTTGTTGTGCGTCTCAAAGAGTTTTCTCATTATGCCTGAAACATTTCCACCAAAAGCCCACATAGCATCCCATGGCCTGATTTTAACGGGAACTGCAAGTACCACAATCAAGTGCAAGACACGATTTCGTTTTTTGCTTTATGCGAGGTGAGCAATTAACAGAAAAATTCAACAGCAAAATACGGAGAATGGAAACCTTATGTGGGAAACCTTTATATTTTCTACCGAGCTTTCATGTTTTGTTCAAGTGATCCATTTTACATTAAACCTTATAGTTTACAGACAACTAATAGTCATTTGCCTCGTCACCAGAACTCAATTTGGGATTTTACTCTCGTTTGGGCGCTCAGGACAGAATGCAGATGAATTCTAAAAATAACGCGGCCACTGACAGACAAGATCGATCAGACATGATATTTTCAAGCTCACTATAGCTTATTTAAGCAAGGTATCTTATCAGGTAAAAATTGATTGAGCGTATGTTATCAAGCTTTCTTTATTTCTGCCTTGGGAAGGTTTTCCTCCTTCCTATTTGCGATTGTGGTGGTGTTTTAAACCGTTTTCACAAAATTCGTAGCCTCCTACCAAACAAGGCCTTAAACAGAACCCACTTTATTTCTCTGAAAGAAATTACACTTTAAAAATAGCAAAAGTAAACAAAGAAATACAGTAACGAGGCTTTTTTTACACTTACATATGAAAAAAACTTAAAAATGAAGAACGTAAGTAAATAAAAGTATTTTTACACATTAAGAAAACACTCAGTTTCTCCTTGAAAATTGGATCTAATTGAACAACTTGTCCATCCATGCAAACTTAAAAACGTTACTAAACGCTGACATTTTAACGATTTCAAAGAGATCCTCCGAACATCAAGATGTGAAACCTCCGCCTTCCCAGTTTTGAGGAAAGTTAGTTGTACACCGCCAATGTCGCGTTCTTGGTATCGTTGAAAAGTTTCAATTTAGTTAAGGTGACACTTTCAATTTACGATAACGTCGTACCGGCCTTTGTGGATAGACAGACACCAATTCATAAGGACACCTCGCGAATTACACAGACAACACTTGTGTCTCTACAACTACTACTAACGTATTTCAACTGTCTTGAAATACAGAGACATGCTTCATACCGCAAATGGCAGTTCTTAAGGTAAACCAGCTAAAGTTTCGATAGTAAGCCATGAAACGCTACAATCGACCCAAAATATTGTCATTCATCATTAAAAATACTAATTGATTTTAAAGAGCCCCTTCTAAAAACACATAGATCCCATATCCCACGTTACCCCATCGTCGAAAAATAAGTAAATGGCTATTTGTTGTAAATATTCACTGAAAATAAATACTTCTCACCGTTGAAGGCCTCTGAGGACCTCTCTGAGGTGATACCATTGACGGAATATTCTAAAACTCGCTAGAGCAACATCAAGAACTTGTTTGATTCCTCGCTCACAATCACGTGCTATTATGGAACAAATACACTATAGCTAACTGATACAGTTTGTAAGAAATAGCAAATCAAAGGGAAGATAGTTACCAAAAGATCTAAAATCGTACCAGTGTGGACATTTGCTTGCTCATTATCTTGAAACGCCACAAATATTTAGAAATTTTACATTAAGAGCACTGAAAAATACTCTACATTTTAACTTAATATATTAATAGTGATTACTAACTATACCATTTAAAATTTAAAATTAATCTAATCCAACCTTTGTATTCCTTATACTATATACATTAATTATTACATAAATTATGTTAAATTATACAAATTATGCTATTCTCGTAGTACAGATGCCTTTGATTTTAACATCCTTATGTCTGTGAGGAAGTTTATTAGATTTTCAAGCAAATCCGAAGGAAACACCTTGTTCCTTTGCTCTTTACGGATCCGCACCCTTTAATTGTGTCCCTGTTTTAAGCTTCCTCTTCTTGACCTGAGAAGAAAGGCGAGCCACAACGTTTAGCACAAGACCAACATGGAGGTGGACAAAAATCTACCACAAGTTTGGTGTATTGATTGGACTACTCAGGGTTAATAACATGCGTACAAAGATCACCGAGAATGATCCCTAGTAGTAAGATAGAACCTCATTTACAACAGAAAATGAATCCACAGAAAGCGTCCATCTGTTAAACTACTATTTTGTCCTGAACCAATCGCATTTCACAAATCTCTCACCCTGTAATAAAACACATCATACCTTATGCTGCCAACTAACAGAGGGTCAAGTGCGTACAGCCAGTCATATGTATCTTCCTCTTTCTCTGTTGTTGTTCGTACTAGAAATCTACAATGTCTTGTGCGGATTGAGAAAACACTAAACGTCTGCAATGGATGCAAAACCGTTAAACACTTTAGAGTACAAATCGAAGGTTACACCGAGAATGAACAACAATCCTGTAAAATGAATTCTGTAAAATGAAAATGATTGATATAAACAGTCACAGTTCTAACCTAATTGTTACTTTCTGCGACCACCGTGAACACTTATTTCTTAGACTATGGTTACTTTGGCAAACGATAACAAAATCAAAGAACTTAAAACTGAGTCACTTTGTCGTAATACCCTAGAATAGCCTAAGCACTATAAAATATCTCACCACAAAATACTCAGGACACTCCACTTTGGAATGCTTCAGATTGATTAAAAATTGTTCAACCTAAAACCGACAAGAACGAAAGTTAAAAAAATTCAAGAAATCTCACTTGAACAACCTTTAAGGAAAGACACGTTTTGTTGAATCTAAGCTTACCGGATCACCTTCCTGGCGATAAAGAAGGACGTAAGGCTTTCTAACAATCTAGGAGAACATAAAATGCAATTAAAAACACACAGGAAAGTGTATCGAGGGGCGAAGAAGGAGGTTTTACACTCACCACATAACATTTGCTCCACCTACAGCTGCAGTCGTCCATGATATGAAGATACCCTCGTTTACTTATTACCGGGCTGTGGGGCACAGATTTTCGGATAAAATCATGTTAGGTCGGTAGATAACACAAGAATGCTGCAGTTATCAGGTTTGTGACATCCTAAAGTTATGACCACCCTTTGTTTCTAGAGGAAGGTGCTAGAAACATTTCAAGAATTTTCGATGAGAAGTTAATGGATTTGAAATACATGGAGAGACAACGATTAAAAATACCGTTGCATTAATCCTATCAAACCGATGTGGTAACCTACAAGGTAGCGTCTTTCACCTAGAATCCCCTTCATCTCAATAGACATGGCTTTTCTGCTGTGGACAGCGCCATGTTTTACCAGCCTGACTATCATGTCGAGCGTAACCTGGGGCTGGATAATAGACCATTTCCGAGTTACCTTATGCCTCTGTTTCAAAACGAGTCCTAGTGCAAAACCTTTCATAGGGAAATGAGTTTCATTTGCATGAAAATGAACCTGCAAGGGAAACACATTTTCATAAGAATGGTTTCGGACACAGAAGCAAAACGCAACTCAGAAAAGGACTATTCGAAATGTTGGGTCAAAACGCAATCTTGTTCCCAGAGTCTTCGTTCCCCTTGACCAGCGGTCGGAAAACGAGAGCTCTGGGAGCAACCATTTTGAAATAACCGAATTCTGGTGATTCTGCCCATCCAGTCTGCATCTATGGCGCATGCCTGAAATTGTTGCTTCCAGAGCTCTCGTTTTCCGACCGCTGGTCAAGGGGAACGAAGACTCTGGGAACGAGATTGGTCAAAACGATGATCGTTTTGATACGTGAACAAATTCTCCCAACTATTTTCAGGATGCGAAATAAGTAGGGACCCGAAGGAGAATGCATTCGGGAAAATTACAAGTTGTTAGTCTTACTTCTTTCTGACAAGCTCCACCTCTGGTACGTAATACTCCACTCTAGATTCTCCTTCATCCTCATTCCGCTGGGTTCCCAACGCAGTCGCACCTCCCTGTAATGATGAAGCTGGACTCTGAAGAACGTTGCATTTTACAAACAAAACAACCTTATTACAGGAACATTTCGGCCAGCTAAGTAGTCTATGTAACATACCGGTTACAGTAAAAACCTGCGTGTAAGAAGCTGGCAAAATAGGTTCTTGTATTTTGTGGTAGTACCTGGCAATTTTAGGCTAAGTAGGTTCTTAATTAATTCGTATTTTGAATGAAGAAGATATAATTGTTGATTTTTCACTACTGTATAATGTTTTCTTCTCGTACTACAAATTTGCAATCTCAAAGTCACACTCATTGGTTGAAATGTTTATCATAACTCAGCTGTAACTCGCATATTAGAACCTCCTCTATCTTGCTTGGCTAAACAGGCTCTTATATTTTTGGTATTAAAATGGCAAATTTCTGCTAGCAGGTTCCTAAACCACTAAGTTCCTACAAGCCGGCTTTTAAAGCAACACGAGAGGGTAGGACGCTAGCACAACTTAAAATAACATACTTAAAACAAAGTTATGAACACTCCTTCTGAACAAAAGTGAAGATACAAAACAGAGTCTTAATGACCTAGCTCGCAACTTTGAAACTCTCCATAACTTTACAGTTCGCCATGAAACAAAGTTCATTGAAAAGCAAAGCTCTAGAACCTAACATTTGTCAACTGCATGAATCAAAAGGCACGCACTTGTTAAGTGGAATTCACTCACCAAAGTTTTAACCTCGCTCAAGTCTTTTTTCCAAGTTAAGAGACCAAGACACTGAAAGGTAACAGAAAAAAAAGAGTGAAAACACCCATTTAGCTCTTAGTTTGTTTTAAAACAAGGAAATGCTTGGCTGAATGGGCTTCGTCTGGACATTACAAGTCCAGTCAGTTCTTGAAGACTGATGAGTTCCACCCTAAAACGTAACCCTAAAAAGTGACTCGACTCGTTACTTGAAAAAAGGGATCCGCAATAAATCTTTCAAGTTTTCTGAGAAGACCATGCATATTCAAAACATTCGCATACGGTTTTATGATAGATTTACCTTCTTTAACAAAGTTTCTTTCACTTTCACTGGGTCCACGTCCCTCGTAAAACGCAGCGGTTTCCCGGCAGGAATAGAAGCTATTGATAGAAACGACGAGGACAACGAAATAGAGCCGAGGCTACTCCGGCTGGAACATTCACTGCCGGCGGAGAAAATGCCCGGATCTACAAGCACCGTGTCAGGACGGTCAGAGGACATGAGCTTCTCGCCGAGACACAGGATATGACGAGCTTTACCCACCTGTAAACAGAAGAGATTGCAGATCAAAAAGCGCGTCACATACTAGCAGTACTATCAAAGGTTCAGTTGGACTGACGAAATAGCAAATGCCTTAAAAGGCAGTTATGAATTCCGTAAAGACCTAATCAACCAAAAGCTGGATCCCCAGCAAGATACCAGACGTTGTTGGATTTTATCAGTTCCGCTTGCTTCGTCTTGTGAACAGCAATTAAACCTCGGTACCCTCGTTTGACTCTTTGGGGAAACAGAAAGAGAGGTTCCACCGTTTACCAGGGACGAAATTAGTGAACGTTATGTACGCATTCCATGCCTGTATACAGTAGTCTTTTACCTCCTGGATTCGCTCCAGTTTGTCTAAATGTGCCTGATGTTCATCAATGAGTGATATCCCCCTGGGTTTCCACTCTCCTAAGTTTTCCTCTCCTCTCACATAAATGCTAGAGGTGTCCATCACCACTCTTCTCTTTGTTTTCATCACTAATGAAAAAAAAAAACGCACATAGAACAGAAAAGATTGCAAATGTTAAAAGGTTGCTGTACTTGGAAAATTTGCACAGGATTACATAAGACGTGATAAAGTGAATTTGGTCTTTTTCAGTCCGATCACAGAAAGCACCCAAGAAAAGCACAATTACCTTAAAATGAACTTTCTACGTCAAGAACTAACCCATTTTCCTAGCTATCTGAACTTCTGGCGAAAAGGCGGGAAACTGTTTCTCAATAAAACCAAGAACAAAACGCTGCCGTCACGCTAGGGACGTTTTATTAATCTTTTTTCGGTACAAATAGGACATCATTAACATTTATTTTTTCTTCGAGACAAGGAAAATTCAACATCAAATTTCTGATGTAGTTTTCATATTTGAGTTATGTTCATAACATGATCAAGAAACAACTTGTTTCGCGAGTACAATTTTTATATCGAACTGTATTACGAACCATGGAAACTTTACTTACACTGTCCGTGCTCATCAGCAGGATGATAAACAAGTTCAAATATATCACTGAGCTTGTCACTAGAAAACAAGGAAAACAACACTAAATGTTAACAATATGAAACTTCCGAAGTATAAATAATAATAATAATAATAATAATAATAATAATAATAATAATAACGAATATTTATACAGGATAGCCCTTCGATGCAAGAGTACTGTTATCAAAGGGGTCCTGTCTAAATAACATAATATAAAGATAAAAACAAAAACAAAAACAAAACAAAACAAAAAAAAAGCGTAAGCTACGAAAATATGTAAACGTACTTTTCAGGACGCTTTGAAGAGCCGAAGAAACTCCAAACAGATCTGCAAAGGTAACAATATAGAAGTTTACAGACTGTCCCTTTTATCATCACGTAATGCTTGGTGATAAAGAAATTCAGAAAAACCATGTCCCAACTATTCTGCGCGCTCACCTGGAGGAAGTTTTTGAATCCCTTCCAAACACACAAAGAGAAATATCCTTTGAGACACAGGAAGTTTGGCAACAGTTTTCCAGCTGCCAAAAAAGGATTTCGTCTGTTAAGATCTTATCTTAAAACAATCAACGAGACGTTTGCCCCAGGGCTGTTAAACTCGAGGGCAACGACTTACGTTACTTTCAGAATACCACACTGAGAAAGTCAGTGGTAACGACACTCTACTAATTAAGTGATACTTATTTACATGCAAGTCTCGTGCCTTTTTGCTACGCTTTGGCGGCATATCAGACGTGTTTGGTCCAGCCATGGTTCGTATTTTGGCGACACGTAGTTGAGCGAAGTTACTCATGGCGAGACCAAACGGGCCTGATATTCTACCGAAGCTTACCAAAAGACGTGCGATTAGGTATTTACCCTACCAAAATTCGTCTTAGTGACACCATATCGTAGCCATATCAGGTCAAAGACTTGATATCGCAGGATATCAGGACAGTCACAGGACAGTAAGACGACTTCTGATTGGCTAATTGCGACTTTGGGTGCGGTTTGACACACTAAGTGGTACGGTGTTTCAAGTAAACGTCATGAGAACAATGAACCTTCAGAAAAACAGATAAAACCAACCTCAAGATATGCTGACATGGTGACAAACACGAGTTCCCCTGGCGGTGTTACTCTGCAAAGTGTCACACAACACGAAGGTTAAACCATGCCTGATCTCAATCAATAATAACACAACACTTGTCTAGCCTACCTGTTAAGTAAGATGGAGTTATGAAGCGACGAGTCCCAAGCCGCCTCGAACCTAAACACGCATTTGTTCTCATCCGGGTGGGACTGGACCTGAGGTGAGAGCACGTTTAAAGAGACGGTGTGGGGCGAACTCTCCCCGGCAGGGGGAGGGACAAGCGTTGTGCGGACACGACCTACAAGGAAATAGATTACCATCTTATGAGTGCTCAATTCACAACAACACTTATGAGAAACCTAGCTTGAGTTAAAGGTAACCTTACAAGAGACTATACCGCCATTGATTTCTTTATTTTTTGACTAGCACGATGTTGGAGAGGGAATCCTTGGACTGTGCGCTGTTTGTGACCATACAATTCGACAATGACTACGGCGATACGACGATCTCTCGTCTGCATTTACGCTAACAGTTAACTCTACGGACAGAAACCTCCAGAACAAGACGCCTCTCAATAACTGGCAAAGTTCTAGAGACAATAACGAGTAACTACAGTTTTGAGGGACACATTGCTAGCTTGTGTAATAGATTAACACTGAGTTTCATTATTTACATTTTTGCACGTTAGGTCGATCATATTTTTTACAATATCTGTCTAATTTCTCGCGCGCTGATTGGCTCATTTCTATCATCAATAAGAGTACAGACGAATACAATTTTAATTTATGCAAACTTTCAAGTTCAACTTCCAGCTCTCAAACTGTCAACTTCTTAAACAATGATATTTTATGGATTTTTTAAGTAGCCAATCGAAAAGCGAGAAAAGCTATTGACAATGTTCGCGTCATTTTGAATGAAATTCACTTATCTTTGTTTACAGCAAGTTTACGGCGTCTTTTCCCCTCATTTATTCCCGGCATTTGACCATTTTGGGGTCTTCTTATGGTAAAAAACAAATTGACGTCAGTATTTTATGCGTCTGTCCTCTTATTAATGATAAATTTCGGCATAACATTGCCAAAGTTTACTGCGGAACCACTCGCCTCCGGCTCGTGGTTTCACAGCCACTTTGACAATGTTATGACGCAGTTTATCATTAATAAGAGGACAGACGCATAAAAAACTGACGTCAATTTGTTAATTCATAAAATTGCCACGTGCAGAGGCAGCCAGATCGTAAATTAAGTAGTGGCAAAATGCATTGTCGTGTCGTCGTCACCATTATCGGACAGTTCAAAAGTCCCGATAACAGAGCAGGAACCCAAAAGGAGCCTCCCAAAACTTGAGAAGACATCCTGACAAGCAGAAACTTGAGAGACAAAGCACAGAGATTCACAGAGGAATAGTCATTGATTGGGTTAAGGAAAGCCTATTTGCTCGCCCACTCTTAACACTGGTTATGGCTCATCGTGCCATAACTTACCAACAACCAGGTCCATAACTCGTCTTATTCTGATATCCATGGAGTTCTCGTGTATGATAGTGACAACCAGGCGCCTTTGGATTCCCTGACCAAAAAGGAATATAAAATACAACAGTTAATCATTCCTAAATCATGCTGAAGAAAAATTGCTGTGTGGTTTCTTGGTTATTACCAAGCCTATAAGTGATTTACTAACAATTTCGTTCATGTTGAAGTCCTTATTTCCATCCATTCTGCGATCACAATTCGTGCTGATGTGCCGATGACATATCCTAAAAAGTGTTATTATACCTGTTCAAATTAACCCCTAAAACCCGTGCGATCAAAACTCCAACTTGTTTCATTGCCAAATTCCCGTCATCAAGAGCAAAAATTAGTATTCCAATTCCGACTTATTTGAGATGAAAAAAAAACAGGTTATCACACTAGTAGAGTCTGGGATAGAGCAGTGTTGCTGTTGGAGTTGTCTTGAGTAACCATGTGGCTACTTAAACGGGTTACGTGTTTTACGAGCTTTCTGATTGGTTGAAATAACTCGTGCAACGTGCTAAAAGCAGTCAGAGCAAGCAAATTGTTCTCATGCAAGAGTAAAACTGGACTGGACACAAATGGGTTTCACAGCACCTGACACAAGTTGCATGTTTTGCTTTGATTCATTGACAGACGACAGTCATTACAAATATTGCTTTACAGTTACTCTTGAGCAGACGACTTGAACGCCTATGCAATATGGAAAATATATACCTGATGAAGAAGAAAGACTCCACCACAAGGAATGTCCGGTTTACGTCTAACAACGCACGGGAAATAACTGAAATCCAACAAATTAAATAACGATCATTAAACTTGTCAAACCGTACCTTAGCTTTAGCATAAATAACATAGTAATAACGTATTTAAAATCTATATAAAAATGTTTGTAGCATGCTTCCAAAGCTTACCAATCATGGTAAAACAAAAGGAAAAACAAACAAAAACTGATGTAGAACGCACATAAAAGTTATGTCTGTAGTAGACTGATCAACGTATATCCTGAAGTGCAAGCAATGTAAGAGGAAAGAACGTACAGCTTTCAACGAAGCAAACAAAAGTTTTCAATTACGATGAACCCAATACGATTGGCAGGAAAATGTGACAGGAAGATGAAGCCGAAAATGGAGAAAAGCAAAGTTCTCTTCGCAGGAAAGAATTATTTTGTTCCTTAGTGTTTTGACAGATCGCACTCTTCAGAAGGCGTTTGTCGAAGTTGTGCAACTTACTCTCCAGACAGTGACATTTCATAGACCTCAACCCAGACTAGCAAATCAAATTTTAGAGTGCCTTCGTCGTCACTGTAAAACAGAAGAATTTTAGTTAATTGTGAATGTGAAGATAATTCATGATAACAGAAAGCTACAACAATGTATGATTTTTATCATCAAATAATCAAAAAATACACCTTAGAAAAATAAGTCAGTTAGTGTTTTAATGTGACACTGTAACAGCTCAAAAAGCCTTCAGATAATGCTACTTCTATTTTCTTACCAGAGTTGATATGGCACAGAGACGGCAGGTGGAGAGTCTAAAATCACAACAAGAAAGAAAAAAGTAAAGAACATCACTGAATGCGACTGTCATTGTACTAGTTTGTCAACTCATGGACAATGACTCTAAGCAAGTCTACGAACAAAAAGACTCAAGACTTAAAACAGACACGATGTTACCCGTTACCATTTGAAGACTTAGAATCTGTTTTGCCTTCCTTTACAATGGCCCTAATGCAAAAGTACATAACAACGAATGAGCAAAAGTACCAGAGGAGAACGAGGTATCAATTCTAATAAACAGTTAATCATTACAGCTGAGTAGAAACACCCTTATCCCTATTAAACTAACCGTCAACACCAATTGTTTTGAGTAAGGCAAGTAATGGAGAAAAGTTTGCATTCACTGGCTCGAACTGACGATGCTTAAGGTGGCCGAACACAGTTTTCAAGAGCCTATACCTAATTCAACATTACTTTTAAGCTATTTATGCTTTGGCGCCCGTTTTTTGCAAGAGTCGAGGTTAACCACAGAAAAGTTTATTCTCGCATTTTGGCTAAGGTGTATACTGTTGCCATGGCAACGGGGTTGGTTAAAAACAAGGCTTAAAAAATGGTTTTTGTTTATTTAAAAAAAATCCAGTCATTAGATTTTTTTCATCTTTTGCCCATTACGAATTGACATTAAATCCCTTCTGTCAACACTGTTCTAATAAAATTTTGACATAGGCGATTTTCGTAATT